TATATATATATATATATATATATATATATATAATATTTCTTAAAAATTTCACTATAGTTCGTGCTAAGTGATAAACTTTTCTCTTCCTTAGTTCACTTTACTTTTCCTTTAATTCAGAAATATCCTCTGAAACTCCTAAATAAGTTATTGAAAGAAAATTTTTCTCTTTCGAATCTATAAATTGTTTTTCATCTTCTTTCATCTCCTATTTTCATCTTCCTTCTCCATCCATCCTTTTCCTGTCTTTTTCTGTTTATTACCAGTACACAAATGTCACCTAAAATTAACCTTAATTTTGCACGTTACAAAGAAAGATTCAATTTTTTTTTGCTCAATGATTTGAAAAAAAATTTTTTTGCTTCCTAAACAATTAAATATTGTGATGTCAGCCAGTTTGTTGGGTTTTTTGCTAACAAACTAGTGGTACTAATTATGACGTAAGAAAATTGGCTTATTTAATGTCCAGTAATTTGCAGTAAACAGCAGTAAATGTAATTTTTTCCAAATTTTTTGTTGAGGGAAAAAAAGAATAAGCTAGAACAAATTAAATGTTCACCATAGATTCAGTAGTAGGCTTACTATGCATATATTTTCAAAATGCTTCAACACTTGTACCTGCTTTCAGCAACCAGTTTCAGGCTGGAATTGTTTAGCACTTCTATTCATTAGCAACAAGCAAACAGCAATTGGCACTTGGGATTTTTACACCTTAAATTAAACCCGATTACACCATTATAACAAAAAGAACAACAGCACAGCAACAACTCATAAAAACAGTATAGCCAAATACTATTCGCCTGACTCTAGCTGACATCAACTTCAGAGTACCAGCAGTAGTTGCTAGTTTATTATATATTAATCAAAGTCTTCTTTTTTCTTTTTCGTTTTGTTAATAGACAAAAAACGTTGAAAGTACCCCCAAATCAATATCATAGCTCCTTCTGTTCCAGAAAAATTTCAAGCCTAACAGTGGATATTAATAACACTTCAGAAAACTTCAAGGCTCTAGCAGACATATTTTTCTTCTTAGCATAATCATTAAGCGTCCTTGAAATGACAGTAATTTCTATAAAATGCCAATCAGTTATTATTATAAAAAGGTTCAGGGAGACAAAGTTGCTACCAAATAAGTGTGGTGCATAAAAAATTGCTGTAATATTTCTATATGAAATAACAAATTTATTATCTAATTAAACATCCACGTTAGCTATAAATGTTCATACCAGTTTCTAAACTGAACTGCTGGTAAAGTTTGAATTAATCTTGTTTTCTATGGGAAAAAACTACTTTTTTCATGATATATGAAGACATAAATGTGAACGGTTCAACACAACTAAGAATTTAAACGGACAACTGATTTCCAATTGTTCACTGCATTTGGTTCATCTAATGCTCATTCAAATATTCCACATTAACTTTTATAATATCCAAAGTGTACATCAGCATCCTGCGGGAAAAATGAAAAAAATAACTTGATTAGGAATCAGAGGTTCCAATGTTCATTAATTTGAATATCAGTGGTATAGATTATTGTTCATCTAATTCTATTAAACCCATTTAATTTTGATTTAATTTTTACTTTTTTAATGAGGCGCCGTTACGCATCAGAAGATGACGATGAACCAATATCAATGTGGAAGATTGGTCTTGTAATAGCAGTAATTCTGCTATGTTTCGCCATGTTATATCCCACATTGTTTCGGCCGTTGTTCTCCTCATTCTTCAATCCTACGCCACCACCAGCTCAACATAAACCGGCAAATCGACCACCGATACATCCGTCGATGGGTGGTGCACGACCTCATCCGGAAATACATCCCGGTCAGTATTACATCATAGTTTATTATTCTAAGTCAATTATTTTTGTACCTCGTCGTTTACGGATGCATCTTTGCCATATATGGAAACTTCATGCTCAGTAACAGAATAAAAACGATTGAACAGCAGTCACTTTGTTATTTCTACTGTTTTTGTTGAGATGCCTCAGATTTTGGACCACTTTTTGGCATATTAAAAGTATATAGATACTGCAAATAGAAATATCATTAGTGAACTCCATACAATAGTGGGTTCAACTTTTGCTTTGTAGGAATGCGTATGACAGGAAGTCAAACGCAGTCACCTACAGGTACCTCAGGCTCAAAAGGTATGCTCACTTGGTTTCTACCAATCTATACCATTGGTGTAGTCACATTTTTGCTCTACACACTGTTCAAGGTAATTATTATAAATTTTTAGCAATGTTTTATCTGGCTATTAACAAACAGCATTTGTGACAGAGTAGTTCACTGGTAAAAGTCGTCTGCTCAAAAGTTATATGAACTACTTGACATTTAGTACCCATAGAAGCATGAACAAATTTTTGATAATTACGAACGAAATATTCGTACGGTATACGAGTGAAATAAACAAATTCAAAGTATAACATTTACGTAAAAAATCAAATTTGATAAGCATGCATTATAGTCAAAAAAGAAGAAACGGCGAAGGCGACACATATATTCGTCAGATGAAAGTGAATCGGAAACTGAAGAGCTTAGTCGTTATGATTCCGGTAGCATTAAATTAGGTATGGATTTTCTGTATGAAAGTTTGCTAGTATCATTATCTGCAGATGGATTTATGAATATTGGTTAGCATATGTGAATCGTACTGAAAGGCACTGCCAATTAATCAGAAATCCTTCAAAGTAGTCAGCGTTGAAAGAACGAGTTTTGGAATATAATGCAGATGCTATTGTTTTTGCTGAAATGCATTAATGTTGAGTAAATGTTCAGGGAAAAAGAAGCTTCAAAGTCTCCAAGAAAGACTGAATCAAACAGAAATGGCAATGGAAAAAATTCTGCAACAACTAGGTGCAATCACTAGTGAACAACATCAACAACAGTTGGAGTATCAGAACCAGCAGTCGCCAACTGATGCTCAGGATGTTTCAGGAGATGGGAAACAAGCAAAGAAAGCTATAAGAAATGAAAAATATTTGAAAGACCTTGAAAAAGTAATAGTTATTTGATTTAATTATGCTTCTTTTTTTCATTCACCTAGGAGGCAGTTTAGACTGATAATGACACCTTTAGTTGTACTGTTTGTACTCAGTTGCAGTACTTTATCAGGGATTCTGTTTTAGGCGCTTAAAGATTTTAAAAAACTATCACAGAAACGCAGTAAAAGACGTAGACGATCAAAGAAACAAGATGATTCATCAACAGCCGACGAAAGTGAAGATGACGTTTATGAAGTTATTGAAGCAGTAGAAAATGGCCCTAGTAGTGAATCGGAAGAAGCGGATAATGGTGCTGCAGAATCCAGCATGCAAAATGACGACAGTGATTGCAATGAAGCCAGTGAAGAGGAGCAGAAAGTTGAGGAACACGAAGGTACATTATTGAAACACCGGCAAAATACTCGAATAAAATCTGGCTAGTCGAACTGTTGTTATTAGTTTGGTTTTTGTTTGATGAATGAAGTTGCCGAGTCAACTGTGACACCACTGTTGAATGAAAGACCAAAATTTTTTTGGGATTTCTGTCAATCAAAAGCATCACTGAGGGGAACCTAGAAAATTGTTACTGGTTGTACATTGGTCTTCCGCTGTTTTGTTTTTATGTTTTGCTGTATTGTTCCTTTTATTTATTTATTTAGTTTTTTTTGTCATACTTAGCATTTATTAAGAAAAATCATTTGTAGAAAAAAAATTCAATTTTTTTCTCGTTTTATGATACTGAGGATGAAGACTTTATGCAAATATATTTTTTTACACTTTGCGAACTGCTTTTTCGCTTTTAATAACGCTTTATTTTTATTTTGAATAGTTATTGGAATTAATGCAACCCGTCTAATTATGCAATACTGTCTTCCTTTTGCTTCTTTTCTTAATTCGCTACACCAGTTGCCACTTTTTTCCACTACTTGGCAACAATTTGAATGTCTTTGTACCAATCTGTTTTGTTCATAATTTCATCAAATGAAATGGTAAACTGTTTTGCTGCCAACGCCAAAATTATTTCTGGTGTTTTTATATGTACTTATGGATGTTAGGATGGTCCGTATAGACCTACCAAATTTTATCGTTTACTTTAGCAGATCATTAATTTAATCTTAATCAAAACTGCTAGTATAATAATTAATACACCGTTTTTCTAGTTGTTTCCTTTTCATGTTTAAATGATAGTTACAGTATTGATCTCGATTTATTGTCTTCTGTTTCACAACCTGTATAATGGAACGGATAAATTAATAATTGATAATTCTTTTCTCTCTTCCTCTTTTTTTCCCTCTAGAAGAATAATTTTGAAGGTTTTACTGTTCACCCATTATTTCTAAAAAATACTGCATCTTTGAGAAGGAACGACCATTTGACTTATAAACAAGTGAAAAAAATTTGAAAAAGAGTACATAATTTTAAAAGCATAAAAAATTCATTTCTCAACTCAGTCGCTGTCACTTTATTGTAGTCATTCAAAAACAAAAAAAAAAAGCTGTTTTCTTCTAATTGTTTTCCACTTTTCTTTGTTCTTCCGGTAGAACTATAAAAAAACCGGAACTTTTAACTGACTATTGAACAATTGAAAATAACTTTTGAAAGAAGTCAGTAATGCGGAGGGAACGGAGTGGTAAGATGGAGGACCGGAAGCGGAAGGGTTGAGAGAGGAAAGAAGGAAATCAACTTTTTTTAGAAAGATTTAAAAAAGTAAATCACAAACTGAGTAATATATAGAAAAACAATCCTCTGTAAAAATATTAAACCAAGAAAAAAGAAAAGAAAAACAGACAACGATAACGATGACGCGACTTCAACGATCAGGACAACGATAAAAAATTTTAGTGTTTTGCTCAGTTTAGTGGGGGAAAAATGTGTGTTTCAAAAAAAAAAGCCAAGAAGAAAAAAAGAAGAAAAAAACGAACTAGCAGAAATAAAAAAAGTGAGAGAATAAAAAAATATAAGCAAAAAAAAAAAATAAATAAATAAATAAATCATATTTTATATAATACAGATACAGCACAAACCCGTTCAGAAATTGACATATCACGTTTCAATAACAGCACACAATACATATTTTTAAGACTTCAACGAAATGAAGAAAAACAGTTAGTAGCATTGAAAAAAAAAATGTAATAAACACTCGGCAAAAAACCTTGAAAATTGAAGCTAACATAGTGAAGAAAAAAAATGCGCAGATTGATGGCAGGACGAAAAAAAATCATGAAAAAAACTGTACGAAATATCACGGAAAAAAGGGAAAAAAACAAAACAACTGCGTACACCGTTTAAAGTTCGCACTGATTTTTGAGCGATCAACCCTTTTATGTTGTTTCTGCCAAACTTTTCCAGCCTTTTTTGTTCCTCTTTTTCCTCCCTACTTTATTTAACCATCTTCTTTACCCTCCTTTTATTCTACACCTCTCAAAAACTATAATTAAGGCTAGAAATTACGTATAGTAAGCACACAGTTTCAAAACCTTAAAAATAGAAATACGCTAAAAAAGTGGGAAAAAAAGTAATATTTGAAAAACAAAATAAAAAAGGCAAAAATCTTATTTGAAACAAAAAATCGGGTGGAAGGGGAAGAGGGAACAAAGAAGATGTAGAATAGCGGAAAAGGCAATGTTTTAAGAAGCTAATTTAGCATATTTCATACTATTATTTTCTGGACCCGTATTTCCAACTCCTTCCAACTCCGCCGTTTGCCATTCAGAATCATAGGCTCCTGCGTGTTCCGCAGTCCCCAAACCGCGAATTTGCACCTCGTTACCATAACCCGGGTTTTCAAACGCTACAGTAGGATCCCGATCCGACAAAGGTTCATTTTTATGGAACCTACGCATAAATTTCGACACTGCATTACTTCTTGTTGAGTAGACTACTCCAGCCACCAAAGCTATTGCCAACAAGAGAACAAGAATAGACGAAATTACCGCACCAACTCTACCACCCGAAGAACTACCTGGAAATTTTAATATTTAATTACTGACAATTTCTTGAAACAAATTTTTATTCCATTATAGCTATATATTAGATCAGGAAACAAATGTTTTTCATTAACAAAAAATAAAACAAAAGGATTCAGTTTTTTTTAGCTGCCCATTATTCAACGAAGTGCAGGTACTACCAATGCGAAATACTGTTTATTTCAGTAAATAGTAGTTCTTTCACCCCATCGTTTAACACACTAAAACTAAAGAGCTCCTATGAGTCGGTAATTTCCAAGACTTCTGACGGCAAATTTAAGCAGCACCTCACCAGCAACAACTTATCGGCATTCCACTAACAAAATAAATGTATCAGATCTCGGTATTTGCATTCGAGATGTCTCACTAAGTTAGTTGAAAGTGGTACTTTAATAAATGAAAGGCTTTTTGATTCAAATGATGACCAGAATTTGACTGGTTGCAAAACGTTACCATCAGCATTATTCAAAATTTTTGCTTCCACAAACGGAGAATGCCCAAGCGCATTAGCTGAAACAAGTGCTAGATTGTAATTGGTGTCTGGATCAAGTCCATCAATAATAATTTCGTTATCTTTTGTTTTCACTACAGTATAATTACTGTCGCTGTTTTCCGGCCTATAGTATACAGCGTACACCTTATAGGATTCAGTATCTGGATCTGTCCAATGTACCTAAACGAAACAGTACGATATCGTGCTCCTTACTTTACAAGTGGCTAGCCAGAAACAAATGGCCAGAAACTACATAGAAGAACAAAGACCTTGACAGAATTCTTCGAAAGGTTCTCGTAATAAATTGGACCAGGTGCAGCTGGAGCTTTTTGATGGCCACGAATCATACAAGCAACTGCTTTAGCCGCAAATGGTGCACACAAATGTCGTGCTTTCTCCAATGGTGACTTATCACCGTTACACATATCTAGACATTGTGGCGGAATACGTTCCCGGAAACAGCAGTCCCGATGATCTCTGTTATCGATAGCGCAACCCAGAAGTTCTGCAGTTATACAACTTATGCAATTAAAGATTAAAAAAGCGACCACTAATATAATAAAGTCTAACCTGAAGCATAGTCTGAACAGTCTTCAGAGGTTTCCGGATCAACGGAACACACTTTCATACATTTCTCTGGTACTTTTGCGTCAGCACAACACTGTAATCTCATGAGTACAGACAAACAGTTAGAACGCTTTTTTATCTATTTTCTTCCAGCGCTTCAACAAAGACAAAACCCAAAATTGATTGGTTAAAAAGTTTTCCCCCTCTATCAAGCAAGATATTACTCTACTCTTTACTCCAACTTCCTTTAAGATAAAAAATAAGCACCTGTAGAGTAAATCGTGGAGTAAGCGGAAGGGCTGGAGCAGCAACATTTAGAACAATCGTTTTGGAGACCTCCTTATCTGAATTTGCACTAGTAGCTACACATGAATACAAACCATCCCGACCAGTAGCATTTGTTATCTAAAACTTGAAAACATTTGCATTATACGAACCACGCCTTCAGCTGGACTGCTGACCACAAACGAGGCCTGCAGGTAAAATAAACATCTATACGTCAATAAATAATAAAAGAATGGTGATGAGACAAGAAAAGTAAAAAACCAGCATACTTTGAGAGAATATTCATATTTATTTGTTGCTAAAACTGTTGATAGTAAAACGTCTCTGAGTTTTTTTGGACTAGCATTTGAATTCTTTTGGTACGTCCATTTAACTTCGGGTTCAGGATAAGCTTTAACAATGCATCGCAATTCGGCCGACATGTCGTCGTACGCATTCACATGATCATCTACCGCAAAAACTTCCGGGCCAACTAAACAAAAATTCGGTCATGCCTCATTATTGACACCTAATAACACTGGCCGGGAGTAAGTTTCAGAAAGGAAGTCAGCTTACAAAATAAGCTAAAACCAAAATGTTTTGTTGATCAAGGCACAGTAGATTTCTGAAATATCAAAAAATTATACATCGAACAAAAACGTGAGCATTGACACGATTCTGCCTTCCTTCTGCATCCTGTACCGTACAAGTGAATAAGTTTGTTCTACTGTTAATCTTCACAGAAGTTTGCACAGATGACTCTCCAGTTTTAGCAACCACCTGAAATTAAATCATATTCAATTGCAATCTTTCCTAGGACATTTAAGCAGCTTTTAACAGATGCTAGCCAACAGAACTGACGCTTTTATTTCCTATCGTAAGAATCACGTCAAGACGCTTGGGGCTGTCAACTTCGCATCTAACATTGACCAATTGATTCTGGTCATAAGTAAAGTTGGCATATTCAGGATCAAGCGTAATTTTAGGTTCCGGAAGGGCAGCGTCATCTATAAATTATTTATTGGTTATAATTGATATTATCATCATTGGTAACAACCATTTAAAAGTAATGGTAACCTGGAGCAGCAAATATAGAAATATGCGTCGAACTAGCACTGTTTTCTTCCTGTACAGTTGCGTAAACGTTCACCTCATACAGTGTATCTAACGTCAGATTCTCCATAACATACCACTTCTCCTTAGTTTTAATCTGAAATAAGCATTTGAAAGTGTTGAAAAACTCTCAATGAAAAAAATAACTGTTATTATTTCATAAGTTGCCCTACTTTAGTCCACGTAGACTGATTATTGGTTGCTTTATAGTACAAAGTAAACACTGGTTCTTCGCTTATTTGATCTCCATTAACTCTTACAGGTTCCCAGTCCCATGTAACATTCACTTTTGTGCCATGATTGTATGCAGTACGCAGTTTTGATGGCGCCCGAGGTTTTTTATCAGAAACTTAAACAATCCCAAAATTAACACTTCTTTTATCTCTTTTTATACCACAAATAAAAAAAAACTCTTGTTCGCAGTTTTCAATTGTTTCGAATTGATATAGGTGATCGTTTCAAACTTACCATCTTCACGAAGTGTTTCAAATGTGACATTTAGTGATGGAGGACTGGAACCATATTTATTAAACGATATTACTCTTACAGAGAAATTTTTTCCAGGAAGTAAATCATCAAAATGTATCGAATTCAACGATGTATTCACCTAGAAAATGCAAGAGACATGTCTTTCAAGAATTCAAAAACATAAGAAAAGATTTCACAAAAAACCACCACAAATTCAGTTTCCAAAATATCAGTTATTAAGATCTACTGCTTCACAAAATTAATTAAAACATATCAAACCTACAAGCGCTTGAAAATAATCGTAAAAAACGAGTCTCATCTAGAAAATAAATAGCAAATATTGTACCTTTTTTAACAGAGAATCTGCCATGAACAACTGTACTTCGTATTGATCAACTTTGCCTTCATTAACGTCCCAAGACAACAAAACAGACGTTTTGTTTCGCGAAACCACCTCAAGATTACTGATCATCGGTGGAAAGTTCGAATGTAAAGCAGCAAAACATTTCAACAATGTTGCAGCATGGGGAAGACATTCTTTTGGCAGGGTAAACGGATGTCTACAAGCACTCATGCAGTTCTCAGGAATACCTAAAATGAAACGAAAATACTACAAATTATGGGAACAGAACCAACTGAGCATCCGATAAGATTTTCATAGATTAAATCAGATAATGAAGAAAAGTAAAAAAAAACAATTTTTTAAAAAAAGATTACCTGATTCAAAACAGCATTTACTATGATCATGTCCATCTGACGCACACTGAATCCAGACATCTGCAGATTCCATACACTGAACAGTTAATGATGTATTGAAGGTACACTGTGCTGAACACTCATGAGAAACACCACGTTCTAGGCAACAGTTCCGGAAAGACCCATGCTCACTTGCTAAAACAATCATAATTTATAGTGTCCAAAGAACTGAAACGACTACTGGTAATCAGTAACATAAAAAAGAAGTAACAAACGTTTTGGACAGCAAAATGTATCTGTTTCGGTTTGCCCAACGACGACACATTCATAAGCTGGTGGGCATTCTCTTATTCCAAGACCGCAGTAGTACCTAAAAAATAGCTGCTATTGTCAACACATATACAGTAACCCAATTCAAGATGCAGCATAAAAAGTTTAAAAAGTGCCAGAGTTTTCAGAATTATGATTTTATCAACAATTAATTACCTGTGGCCATTGGGGTGGTACAGTGGTTGGCCATGTGCACAGGTTGTTGTATCGAGAGATCGCGTAAAAAATACTTGTGCTGTCGACATAAGACTGTCGCCCCTTGAGCCGTGACTTTGAACAAAAACTGTGTATTCAGTGTCAGGATCAAGGCCATATTCGATATGCGGAGAAGTGACATTATGAACCTAAAATTTTACGATAACTTCCTTATACCTTCAGGTTTTTTGCAAAATCTTTATATAAGACTACCATTTTAACATACTTCTTTAACTGGTGCACTGTGCTCGTCTTTTCGGATAAATAGAGAATAGGATTGTACAGTATGCGCATTAACTGCCGGTTCTTCCCATTCAACCTCAACAGAATTTTCGCTAATTTTGGTAACTGTCACATTTTCTGGTGGCGAAGGATGACTCTCTAAAATATAATCACTTTTTAAAGTTATTTTAAAATTATTAAAGTAACAGGTCTTCTTCAGATAAAAATAACATTGAGTACTCAAAGAAGGCTAAAAATAAAATTATCTAAATTCTGAAAAAACATTGATACAACTGGAGCTTCGTTACTCCAAAAGCCTAGGAATTTTTGAGTGACATATACCATATCCGATACGGAGGCACTGGTATATGGCAACAAGATCAAGGTTCAGGCACAGCAATGATTTTAAAGGCAACGGTTGAGGTAGGCCACCACAAATCTTTAGACAGTCATGTTGAACACCTTTGCGAACACAGCAATCTGTATGGTTTCTGCCGTCAGCTAGACATGGGCTTACCTATAAACAGAATCTGTACAGATGACATAATACAAACTACAACAACGACTTATAAAACTGATACTTTTCTCCAAAATAAGCAATATAAAGTTATTCTTAGTTGCCTACAAAACTATCTTTACCTTTGCCCATTCCGCTTGACATGAGGTAGATATTGCGATAGTTTCCAATGCGTTTGGCACATTCCTTACATTACACAGTTTAGACGCACAATAAGGCGATACTCCGTTTGTAGAACAACATTCTAGAAAAAATATCTCACAGGTTTAGACAACGCTATATAACACGTATTGAAGAAAATTTCAGAGCTAATACAATTTGGTACTTACGTTCAATTTGTGGTAACGATGCGTTAGACGGAGTCACTACAGCATTTGTAGAAGCTAATGCTCGAGAAGATGGAACTGATGTTCCATAACTGTTTGTAGCTGTTGCATAAACAATATAACGAGTTGCTGCTCGTAAATCAGTTAATGTGACGCAGGTATCAGTAGTGTTAACCTAAACCGTATCATATCAGCTAACTATAAAAAAGTTGGCATATAGTTGAATAAAAGTATTTAACGTTCTATAAAGATGAAATAATGCAATAAAACATTCCTCACATTTAAAATTAAACAAGAAACCATACCACTTCAAATTTGAATTCACGAACAACAGAATCGTTAGAAAACGCGTCATGAGTTACAACTACCCAAGAATCCCGTTTCTTTCTATCTGGTACAAAATCTGTTTTTGATGACATGCTTCGAACAGTCTCATCGTCATTCACTTCGCTAGGAACACTTTCTTCATAATCTGTTGTCAGTAAAGGCAATCCTCTAAAGAAAAGGTAAGGTTTAACCTCCCTCCAAAGCAAAAAAAACTAGATAGACATCTAAAAAAAAGAATTTTTCAAATTATTTACGACTACATAATCTTACTCTTCTCCGCCAAGGAATGGAAATGATGGTATCTGCTTGTAATAAACACTGTAGTATTCAATTTCCAGATGTTTGTTAGATGTTTGCTTTGGTGGTGGGTGCCAACAAACTCGTAATTCATCCGAGCCAACAGCGTTAACAATAAGATCTTCCGGAGGGTCAGGATACGGTACTGAAGAACACAGGTGATGTCAAAAAAATTCTTTCTTGACCATTGATCAAAAGATAAGATATGATGTAGTGAAGAGACAAACGTTTGCACTACTTACAGTAAGCACGATTATAGCATTCAAATATTTCTGGTAGATAGTATAAGCAAAGACGATGCGATTTTCTTAACATCTGGAAATTCCCTGAGCAGAAGTCATAGCAAAACGATGGAACCAATTGCGTTCGACAACAATGAACATGACTACGATTTCCACCTTCAGTTGCACAAGACAAAAAATTCTTGTAGTCATCGGTTTTGCAACTAAAAATTATGAGCATTACTGTTGTAAAAAAAGTGTTTGTTTTGCATCAAAGAAGGAGAAGTGATAAAAATAAAAGAAATGCTCAATATTAACTTCACACAAATACCAAAAAATGATTAAAAAACTACAGAGTAATAATTCGATCAAGAAAAAGAAATTAATCAAAAACCTTGTGGGGTCAAAATGATGAATGTTCATATCACGAGGTTTACACATTGCTTGACATAGCGGTGAAATCCCTTTCTCTGCACAACATTCACTGTAATCGTAACTGATGTTTTCATGAAAACCACCTTTCAAACCACTTTCTGTAACATATTTAAAATCACTAATTTCAGGTGTTTCGTATCATCCTCTCAACCAGTTTTCCCCTTTATCAAGTAATATTAAGAAACTTCAATAACAGGAACTGTCAAACAGCGACGTACCCAAAACTTCCAGTTGAAACTCCAGCTGCTGTGACTGATTATTGATTTGACAACGATACCGTCCAGCATCTTCAAAAGTCAAATTCCTCAGCACCAGAGTAAATTCTTCAGAAGCACAGGCACAGCATTTGTTGTCAACACAATGATAGCCATCTTCACAGTTAATGGAATCTGTGCAGCTTCCTTTGCATTCTTAAACAAATAAAACATTTTTTTATAGATAAATAAGTCTGGTCTCACGTCTCTTCTGTATTAGAAAAAAAAACATTAGAAAAAATTAAAAGAATTTAAATAAATAAAAAATTGTTTTGCTGATGATAACAACCTTTAAAAGCAAAAAAAAAAAAAAAAAAAAAAAAAAAAAAA